TGTTGTTTGGCGGGCCCTGGCTGGGGATTCGAACCCGCCACCTTAGGTGTACGTGGCTGGCGCCTTAGCCGGTTGAGCTATAGGCGCCGAGCTGGCTCAAGTGATTCTCCTCCCTCTGCCTCCCAAGTAGCTGGGACTACAGGCGCCTGCCACAATGCCTGGCTTTTTTGGTTGCATACGTCGTTGTTTGGTAGGCCTGGGCTGGATTCAAACCCACCAGCTCAGGTGTATGTGGCTGGTGCCTTAGCTGCTTGAGCCACAGGTGCCGAGCCTTTTTTTCTTTCTTTCTTTCTTTTTTTTTTTTTTTTTTTTAAACTTAGAGTTAGGGTCTTACTCTTGCTCAGGCTGGTCTCGAACTCCTGAGCAAAATTGATCTTCCAGCCTTGCCCTCCCAGAGTGCTAGGATTACGGGTGTCAGCCACCACAGCACCCAGCCTTTGGCCCTTTTCTTTCTGAATATATTCCTGGGTGACCCCACCCAACCATTGCCAATGACTTTGACTGCTTATAAATTGACAACTCCTAAACATATGTTTGCGTTCTGGCACCCTCTAGAGCTTTGAAAGGTGTGTTTCTTAAAAGACTTCCAAATGACCTCAACTTACCTATCATGCAGAGAGTTCTTGAAATCAATATTGTCTCAGATCAGGGTTGCTCAGCCTCCACACTCTTGACATTTTGAGTCAGATAGATTTTCGTCATCAGGGGGTTAATAAGTGTATTATAGAATGTTTAGCCCTATTGTTGGCTTCTATCCACAAGATGCTGTTACATCCAAAAATGTTTCCAGAGGTTGCCAGATGTACCCTGGGGAATACAACTACCCCAGTTGAGAACTACTGACCTAAACTAAACTTATTGTCTTCCTTTCTCAAATATGTTTCTTTTTTTCTCACCTTAGTTAATGGTACCAGCATGTATTAGAAACGTGTTATTCTGGCTCAGCGCCTGTGGCTCAAGTGGTACCAGCCACATATACCTAAGGTGGCAGCCCGGGCCCGCCAAACAACAATGACGGCTGCAA